GACTTAGGAGGGTGGACAAGAAGAGAGGCAAAGGCCCGAGAGAACATAGCTTTTCCAGGTGCTTTTCCTAGGGCTCCATGGATCCCCGGGGGGGGGGGGGGGCAGCCCAGAATGGAGGTGTCACTCCAGAAGAATGACTTTCCTTTTGCGGGGCTAGGATCTATGGAACCAAACCAAGACTGGGAAGTGCAAGCCACCCAGCAGCTGCTTCAGGAACCCTAAAACACCAAGGCTTCCACTAGGTTCTTCCAATGCCCCCTGACACATCCTTTTTTTTTAAAAAAAATTAATTTAATTTAATTTTTTAAACATTTCCTCAAAGCAGTTGGGCTTGGGAGCCAACTCCAAGGCGCAGAAGACCCAAGACTGTGGTCAGAGACTCTCATCAGGGTTGGAGGCCATGAGTAAACACTCATTCTGTTCAGGGTTTCTATTACCTACCCTGTAAGTGAACTGTTTTTGCAGTTGGTTTACCAACCCCCCCCCCTTACCCTCATAAACATTTCAGTATGGCTTACATCTGACTTGGAATCAAGACCCTTAGCCCTCCTCTCTCCTGCCTTCTTCCCAAGAGGGCTGACACCAGCTGCTCCCTAAAGTCTCCTAGGGTTCTGGGCCTAAGCTGGAAGTTCTCAGGTACCTTTCAGCCCCACCATAAGGATCTCCACTTTCCTCTCTCATCCATGGATCTTCCTTTCTTCCTTGCAGTCCTGGAGGCCAGAAGATGGCTTCAGACAATTTGGTTATCGGGGCAGGAAGGCAGGCAGGTAGCCAGGCCTTGCTTGATACTTTACTGGGGAAAATGTCACTAGAACACAGCTGCTGTTAGGCTAATAATTTCAAGGTTCAGGGAAGTAAATTCTTGCCTCTTCCCCTTTCCATGACAGGTTTGGGTGGGGACTGAGCCTAAGAGGTCCTTTGTTTCTTTTCTTTCCTTCTCAGACCAGGCCTGAAGCTACCACTCTGGGACACTAAAACGGTTTCCAGAGCCCCTTACCTCAAAGCCATCTCAAAGGGAAAGGGGAGACTTGGAGCCCTGGCCCCAGAAAGTGACTGAGGATTCATATGCCCCCATGCTATGCTGGCCCTTTAGGAAGAGAACTTTCAGGAACCAGCAGCTGAGATCTACCTGGCTTTCAGAAGCCCCAGGCTGAGAAAACCACCCTTTGTGGATAATCCAACTATCTGGTGTGGTGGGCCTGGCCTGTAAACCCAGGGCTTGGCGCTTGGGAGGATGAATCAGTATTGCTACTAGATTGAAGCCACCCAAAGGCTACATAGCAAGATTCCCCCTTGAAAAGCAAAACATCTCTTGTGGACACACACACACACACACACACACACACACGAAAAAGTATTATTATCCTCGAGAAGCTTAGACAGTTTTCTGCACATGGCAGAGAATAGGGTTCCATGAAGTGTAGAACAGAATATGCAAAATGGTAATTTGGTTCCAGTAAATATGGTCTTTTACTGTCCTCAGGCCTCACTATGGAAGGAGGTGGGAATTCCCTTGGTGTTTTTCACACACTGATTTTTTTTCTATCTCTTTCTCCTAAATACTGTGAGTAGGCACTGACCGAAAGCGGGGTCGCCAGACCTATACGCGCTACCAGACCTTGGAGCTGGAGAAGGAGTTCCACTACAATCGCTACCTGACCCGGCGACGGCGCATTGAGATTGCGCACGCGCTCTGCCTCACCGAAAGACAGATCAAGATCTGGTTTCAGAACCGACGTATGAAGTGGAAAAAGGAGAACAAAACCTCAGGCCCGGGCGTCACTGGCCAGGATAAGGCTGAAGCAGAGGAGGAGGAAGAAGAGTGAGGGACAGGGAGAGCGAAGAGGAGGAGACTGGAGAGAAGACCCCAGCTCTGGAAACTGAAGCATGAAATGCAAATAAGGGGGAAATCTATTTAAATGACGCAGTTTAAAAAATAATGAGAAGGGTGAAATTTGGGCTTCTCAACACTGTAAAAAAAATACTACCTATGGGAAAGTGTGTTGTCTGTTTTGTACATACTACCTTTGTATGGGAAGGACATACTACCTGCTCCGTGGCTTTCTGGAATGTGCCTCCCCTTTTCTATGTTGCTAGTAAGGTCTTTGTAAAATCTTGCTGTTTTGTAAGCCCTCTTTGACGCTGTCTTTGTGGACTGTGGATCCTTGACTACCCCATACTTCCCAGTAGCAGCACTCAAAGGGCCTCAGGAAGCCTCGAGGACCCACTAGCTCTGCTTCTGGTGAACTTCGCTGCTGATCCTGGCTCCTACCCCTTCCCACGAGCCTCTTTCTGTATATCTGAAGGATGGAGAATAAAAACAGGATTAAAAATCAACAGATTCTGTACTTTCTGTCTCCCTCTGGCTGGGAGGAGATGAGAGTTGGTGGTGGGGGGCTTGGGTGGGTGTCTCCAAGTCCCTCTACTGGCCTTTTCTTTCTGTGCCGGGTTTGATTTTATTTCCCTGATGCCCCCCCCATACACTACCAACTAATGAGCCCCAATCTCTCTCTCTTCCTTTAGACTTTCACCAAAATACACAATTCCCATATTTACAAGCTGACAGTCCACAAGTGTATACACGGTTACAGTCACCAATAAAATAAACATAGACATCCCTGTATTCACATATACACATGCAGGCTTTCGCACAACCCCGGCTCCATGCCCAGAACACACGCATTCACATTCACACACACTCAGAAGTAAACACGCATTCACGGACACTCGCAGACACATCCATACACACCACTGTACATTGGCTTCTAAACAGATTCACACATTGGATTCTAAACAGAGACTCACATTTGCCCCCAAGTAAATCCATCTACCCATCTACGAGGCCATGAGCTCAGTTACACACCCCCAAAATCTATCAAAAAACCACCCAATTTAACGTTTCACAAATGCTTTTCCTTATCCGTGCCTTTAAAGGAGACTATGAAATCTGAGCCTGGTGTCCAGGCTCAAATATTGTGATGAAGTCCAAAATGGTAGGCCTCAAAAAAGACAAATAGAAGAAAAGCGAAGAATGAACACCCCGGTCCATCCCACCTCTGAAGCGGTTTGGGCAGAGGCCAGAACAACGAGTAGAGGCCTCTTGGCTGGCCCAGTACAACCTCCTTGTCAGGGTGCTTACAGCTTTTTGCTCAGGCAGCAAGCATTTTCGGTCAGAGTGGGTTTTGTTTTTTTAATTTTATTTCAATTTATTCTTTACTTTATGTATTAAAATCTATCCCATTCTAGATTGACAAGGAAGATCCATATGAAACTTTAAAACTGTACAAAAATCAGTCCCGTGAGCGAGAGCCAAGAGAGTTTACCGGGCTGGGGTGGCCGGAGGTGACCGCAGTGAGCTTGGCGGGGCGTCGGCCAGGGCTTCCTCTGCCTTGTTCAGCCTGCTCTTGAGTGCCGCCAACCTGGAATCTTCTGAGGGGCACACACGGGAGGGAAGGAAGAAGGGAAACATAAAATTTAAAAAGAAAATTATTTCGTTTTTGCATTAGGTAATCAGAAACCCAGCCTAAAATGTAGAGGTTTTGTGGGTTTTTTTTTTTTTTGGAAACCTGGAAAAGCAGAGTGAGTTATTCTTAATTTTTGCAAATCCTTTATTGCTGGACAAAACCCTAAACGGTAGTGTCTTTACACCTAGACCTGCGGTGTTGATTTTTAATATTTATTCGTTTACAAATTCTCGGTTGTTTAAAGAACACTATATTAAGCCGGAAGGGTTTGAGAAAGGTGGTTGGTTTCCGGAAAAATATCAGAAAAGGCCTCCAAAACCTGCGGCTTCCCCAGTAGCGACCGCAGCAACCCCTGGAGAGCGCAGGGATTTCTCCTAGGGAACCTGGTTCCCAGAGCGGGCTTTTCGGCGGCGGGAGAGGCCGAGGTCTGCTTCCTTCCCCAGTTTCTGGGGTGCTGAGGTGGAGAATTTGCTTGTTGGACTAATCAGGTCTGGCTCCCTTCCAGGACACCTTCCCCCCAGAGACAAAAACTAGACCCTGAGGGCCGACCCCCCCCAACACACACCTGCAATGCTGCAAGTCTCACAGGTGGGGGAATCCCACAGACTCTAGGGTTTGGAATGGGGGCGGGTGTTCAGAGCAGGAGAGGGGGTGTAGGAGCTTTCTTTTCGCCACGACGCAGACAGCAGCATCCAACAGGGCTGCTGCTCTTGCCTCACCTTCCCACCTCCTCAGAACAGTCCCATATGGAAGATTTGGGGGGATTTTTACTATAAAAGACAGGCAGAGCTTTTGAGGAAAATGTGGAGGTTCCAGAGAAAACCCCGGTTCTAGCTGGACCTCTGTGGCTTCTCTACCTTGCATTTTTGCACCCCAAATCTCACCCCATCTCAGATTGGGGTTTTCCTAAAAAGAGAAGGGGAAGAAAAGAAGATGGCGACCGAGAAAAGGGTTGCTGGTGGAGCAGCCATGAAGAAATGCAATAAATTCCTTGTTGTTTTATGAAAATTTACAACTTTGTGATAGAAGTTTATGAGTGGTTGAATCCAGCGATTGGCCGGCGCCGGTCATGTGGCCGGGCGATCGTGAACATGAACTTTTTATCATTTCCCTGGTGGTTATAATGCAGCATTCTTTTGGACACCACACCTAGGTCGGAGCACTGCCGTCCTTCAGGGCTCCAGCCTCTTGATATTTTTATACCTCAATATCAGTTCGATATAGCAAAAGAGAGAGAGGAAGAGAGAGAGAGGGGGGAGAGGAGAGAAGAGTAAGTGAGAGAGGGAAGGCGGGGGTGGGAATTACACAAAAGAGAGAACCAAAAATAATTTTGATTCCTAAGTTAATGCGCTCGCTGATCTGGGATTTTCAGTCATCATGAAGGGTAAATGGACAATCGGCCCAGGAATGACGCCTGATACCATTTTTCAAAGCCAGAACTTACTCCATTTTCTATGCAAATGTCAGAAAAGCGAAACAACCTCCCTCTCAAGTCTGAGAGAGGGAAACGACGGCTCTCAGGTTGGGACAATATTATCGGGAAGCTGAAGAAGAAACCGAACGCGCCTTTTTCCCTCCCTCCCCACCCATTTGAATCCGGAGAAGGAAAAAAAACCCAAGTTCTGCAAAGGTAAGGGAGATTCTACAATTCTTATTCTTTTGCATCGTTTTTTTGCAGGGGGTGGGGCTTAGGCTTTTCTCCCCCCTCCCCCCATCCCAAGATCGGGTTGAACCCCACCTCTGGGCGCTGCTGGGAGAAGCTTCCCAGGAAATTCTGTGGTAAAGAGAGGGGTGGCTGCTTCCTGGAGGGGGAGCCGCTGCAGGGAAGATGGGGGGGGGGAGAAACGGAAAGTGGCCTCGGAGGCCAGTTTTATGCTGCCTTTTTAGCTGGGAGAGAGAATGTGGGGGTGTCTGGGCTGCAGCCTAGCTGGCCAGTCGCTCTGGCCCTGGTGGATTTGTGCTCACCTCCCTCCATCTCTCCCTGGTCCTGGCCTCCCCGGATTGCCCCCGTGCAGTTTTCCTGCCCAGTGTGGGTAAGGGCGATTTCCTGGCTGCATTGGCACGAGGGGCGGTGGCGCTGAGGGACGTCCTGGTCTCAGTAGGGCCTGGAATCTCCGCTGAGGCCAGCCGAGGGCAGGGAGGCGGCTAGAGTGACAGAAAAAGGACAATTCACAGAGAAATGTTCTCTATCTTCCTTCGGAGACATTTCTGAAATTAAAGGGTTGTGGGTGAAGGAACCCAAAGCGAGGGAGACTCCCTAGGAAGCTAGCCCAAGGAGCGCCCAGGTCTCTTGCCACTCCCGCCGCCCGAGGGAGCCTCGTCTTCAGGGATAGAGTTTTGTGGTTTAACGCGGTAGGTTAAAGTCTGTTGGTCTGTGTGTGATCGATTCTGTTACTTGTGTTTTATCGGTATAGGATGTGTGGATTTTGGTGGAGAAAAATGCATATCTGACATGCAAGGATTTCAAACTTTCCTGGATTCAAATGTGGTGGTTGTGAAATGATTTTAGCATGCTGTTTCAGGCTTATACACAAAATAAATTTGATGTGGGTGTGCGGGATGGGGTAGGGGGCGAGGAATACAAACCAAAAAGGAAACCTAACTAGAGAATCCAATGGTGTGGGCTAAAAAAGCCTCCGGAGGAGGCTGGTTTCAGAGCTAAGTCCTGTCTCTCACCGCCCAATTTTGTTGCTTAGCTTTCCGGAGGTGGGGGAGGGGGAAGAGCTGCCGAGTGCGAGACAGATTCTTAAAAAAGCTGGGGTAGGGTTCAGGCCAGCAGGTGAGGGCTAAGAAATGGGGTGAAGGGTCTCTAGGGAAGCTATTCGCAGAGAACTAAGTCACTTTGGGCACGAAGGACAGGGGACATTGTGAATTACTTTGGTTTGCAGAACAGAGATCGACTGACTGCCTTTCTGTTTTCTTAAAAGCCTGTGCAGGTCGTCCAGGCTCAGGCTTCTGGTTGTCTAGAATTTTAGGATTTGGGGCAAGTGTGTGGCTACAATGGTCTCCTGAGCTATTAGGAAAAGGAAAGTCAGACACTTGTGGCATAGGACTGGGCCTCCCTGGGGGGCCAGATGAACAGGCCTGCCTGGGCTCCTGGAAACACATTGACTTCTTAGCAAAAGGAATTGATCGCTGGCGTCTAGGACTTTTGGACCTTATTCGCGACGGGAAAATCCCCTCCAAACCCACTCAAAGTAAAGGTCTTCCCCCCCCCCCCCTCTAGTCTTGGTGGATTATAAATCGTCCCTTAGACCATTTCCTCTGACCCAAATTATGCAGTTTGCTGCCATCTACCGTCCGTTCGGGGACAGGCGGCTTCGGCACTGCCAGCCTCTTGATACTCCCTGAGCCCTGAGTGTTTGCTTGGAGCTCGGGCCGCGCGGTTCCGTGGGATTCTGGCCCATGCCGATGTTCTCTGCTGCATCTTAGTCCCCGGATGCAGATTTTAGAAAATGGAATGAGTCTCTTGTCACATCATCCGCAACCTTCTCCCGTCTCCTGCAGACCCTGCACTCATCCCAGCCACAAACCTGCAGGCTGGCAGAGGAAGAGGCAGATGTTGAGAGAGGAGTAATACTATAACCCACGGACAGGGATACTGAGTCAAAGGGTTGAGGGTTCAGCCCCACGACCCTCATCAGCACCTAAGACACGAGACACGACTGGGCCTCTGGAGAGGTGTGAGGCCAAATCTGTTCAAGGTTTATTTAGTTTTCTTCACAGCCAAGCCAGGGGAGGCGGGGGGGGGGGGGGGGGGGGTGGTGGCAAGGGAGGCGCCGACCGGGCAGTTCCACTCGGTTGTTAAAGACAAACTCAGTCTGTATTCTTCCAGTTGGTTTGTGGGTATTGCCAGTTCCTAAGCTGTTGAGTCCGTGGTGAAGGAGTTGAACTGAGTTTTCTGGAAACTGCCATGACTGCAAGTGAGTGTTGGTCCCTTCCCCCATTCTCGATCGTTTCACGCGAAATCGGCGCAAAAAAAAAAAAAGTCTTTGGTGGAAAATCGGGAGTGAGGAGAAACCATTAAAAAAACCAAAACCAAAATCTCTGTAATTTCCGTTCCTGTGGGACCCCTCACACCAGGTTAACGGAACCGCTTTCCCAGAAGGGGGTGTCGAGGGCTGTGTGAGCGCCTCCGCCTCGGCGTTGGAGTCTTGACTCCTGTCTCACCGGTTACTGATTAGCTCGGGCTTTGGGCTTTCAAGCTGCAAGAGGAAGCTCTGGCTGCCCCTTTCAAGGTGCGGTGGCCCCCATTCCTGGGCGGGGGCTGCAGGAAATTGCCTGCTGTGCCAGGCTGGCCAAGGTGTTACTAAGGTCTGGCTGTGTAGTGCTGGGGGCACACACCCCCGCCGCGGCCCGGCACCCTAGACGACTCCAGAGTCTGAGCCTCTCTCTGGAGCAGGTCTTTAAAATTTTTTTCCCCTCTGCTTGGAAAGAGTGACTTTCTGGAGGCTGCACCACCGGGCTTAGTGAGTCGCTCCTCGGGAGGCCCCGAGGGATCTAGCAGGAAGATCTGGGGCCCTCCTAATTTTTTTTCTTTTGGGCAATCAGAAGGAAACATAGGGAGGGGAAGTTGAGCTACTATACAGAGGCTTGAAACACTTCGGGGCTCTTAGGGTAAGGGTGAAGTGGGGGGAGTAGAGTGAAGGCTCACCCACTCCTCCTACAAGATCAGAGAGGATGCCGCTCATTTGCATAATGGAAATGAGGTCTTTGTACCTCGATTTGGATCAGTCGATTTTAGGGCAGAGTGTTCAAGTAAAGAGTCTCTTTCCAATCTGTGGGAGCCACCACATTGCACCACTGGGGAACATTTCGGACAACCAGAATCCAGGGGGAGAACTGGGTTTAAAAGATTTTCATCAGCCCGACCCCAGGTAAAGTTGGGGATGGGATATGAGAAGATACTTTCTATTTAAGGAGCTGTGGGGGAGGGTGCTTTATATCTTAGGGGAAATAGGAAGCCTAGCTATTGTCTCACCTCCTCCTCATGCAGCAGGCAAATGCTATTCCTAAGAACATCGCCTGCTGCAGATTTCACTCCTGAGCTGAACATGACTTCGGCAACATTTCTCTGGGAGCTGGAATGTGTGTGCTTACCCACGAGACTGCAGACTCAAAGCACAGAAAATCGCAATTATAAATCCTGCCTGTGGGTTAGCAGGACAATCCCTGCGCTGTGTACTGAAGACTTGGGATACATTTACTTCCCTCCCTCGGCGATGGAGAGCTGGCTGCTGCCTGCTGTGTATTTACATATTTCCTGGTGGAGACAGACAAACTGAGGTGGATGGAACCACAGACAGATCAGTAGAGATCTGGCTCCAGAAACCAGGCGGTCTCTGGCCCAGCTCTGCCTGCCTGCTCTTTTTCCCAAACAAACGGATCAGATGAATAAACGCTCATAAATACCTCTGGGCTTAGATAAGAGCGATGAGGCGCTATTTCCTTTCATGCCCGACTCCAGGCGCCCTGGCCCTGCCCATAGTGGCTCCATCTCCAGACAGGCAACCTGCAGAGGTGAGGTTAATTTGAGGGCTGCTACTTTAAAGAATAAAGCAATTATTTTCCTGCTTCTACCACAGGGGAAGGCCTCCTCTCTCACCTCCTCTTACCTTTTTTTTTTTTATATATGGGCCATCTTTAACATACCATCTTTCCTATGCTGAGGGCATTGTGACCAGGGAGAAGGGCTGAGGCCCAAGGCCCAGTCTCAGTGGCAAGATTGGGGGAGGGGTAAATATTCTTCTGCATCTTGTTCCCTTGCTGAAACAGCCTGGTACTCCTTTCTCAGTATAGGCCCAGCCATTTCTAGGTTGGAGCATTTCTGCTTTCTTCATCACTAGAAGGTTTGAGATCTTTTTTAAAAAAAACCCTCCCCCCCCCTCCATGGTTTAAGGCTAAAGAGAGAGACACCCAGGGATGGTCATTGTGCCACAAAGGGGCAGCTTAGCAGTTGCTTTGAGTTCAAAGAGCTTTAGAGGCCACTTTGCAGCCAAATAAATCCTCACTTTTGATCACCCACCCTCAGCCCTTTCCTATTATCAGTGGGCAGAAGTGGACCACAAAAAGGAGCCCAAAAGAACAAGGCAGAGGTGGGTCAGCCTGGCCTGACCCCAGACATCATTCTTATACCCATTCCCCCTATGTTCGGGTTGGAAGGGAGTTTGTACTCTCTTAACTGTCTGACCTGTGTGTGCACATTAGACTGTCAGAAATACAGTGTGTGCCCTAGCTTGGGGTCTGTGCTCATTTTCTCTGGGTGAGAGGAGAGAGTGAGAGTGTAGATACCCAAGTTTTCAGGGCAGCAAAGCAGGTGATACAAGCAGGAGGCATGGGAGGGGACAGGAGAGTGGCTAAGAGACCTGATCGAAAGCTAGAGTGGGCATGCCAGGTGAAGACTGGAAGATGGTTACTGAGTGCCTAGGTGGTCTTAGCAGCCTTCCTTCCTTAAACGAAATTTAAACCAAGTTTTGGAATGGGATTCATAGAGAAAGCAGGACAGAAGAGACGGTTCTTTTCAATGGGCTTTCATCTTCTCCAATAAGGAGCTGAAGATTCACTCCCCCACCCTCCTCAAAATAGGGTTTCTCTGAGTAGCCCTGGCTGTCCTGGTACTCAGTTTGTAGACCAGGCTGGCCTCGAACTTGGAGATCTGCCTATCTCTGCCTTGCAAGTGATGGGGTTAAAGGCGTGCACCAGCCACAACCACCCGTCTACTCACATTTCTAAGAGGGCAATTTCTTCCCCGTATCTAGATTTACTGGGACATCCTTGATTTTAAAACTCTGTAGCCAGGAACTATTCTTACATCCTCTGGGGTGAGGGATAAGGATGGATTGAGTGGAACCAGCGTGAGGGTTGCAGGCAGAACAGAGATGCAACAAAATCACCCGAGCCAGGGCTTGCAGCTTTCCCTGCGCTCTAGATCACCAAATTTAGAGATGGTTAGTTTCTTTCTCCGGAGCCCCAATCCCAGACTGCAATCAGGCAGGCTGAGCTGTCTTATACTTAAGGACCTGCTTGTCAGAAGCTACTAGCCTAGTGGAGCAGCCAGAGGGAGAAGCCTGGGCTCACATACCCCTGGCATTTCCTTCTTCTGGGTCTTCCAGGCAGAGGGATTTGGCTTGCCCCCTCTAACCTTGAGAGTTGTGGAGAACCGGGGACGTGATGAACCTAAGCTTGCAGGGGGGAGAGACAGACCTGATAAACAGAACAAACGATTTTCCAAACCTGCTAAGGAGGGCGTTTCTTCTTCCCGTTTCTAAAATGAAGCAAATTAGCGACAACCCCATTTTCCCTTTACCAGCACAAAACCCTAGAAACAGACCTTCCCCCTTCATTCTCTCTCAACGAGATTCATGGGCATTTACCCAGACCTCTCTTGAGGGAACGGGCCCGTGCAACGCAGGGGTTAACTTTTCTGAAAACACAATTAACTTTTCCCTATTCCTGCGTGGAGTGGGGGGAGGGGTGTATTTATTTCATCACTGGGGAATGGGGTGATCTCCATCCAAATGTTTGTTCCCTCCTCCCTCAAAAGCACAGACGCTTCTTTCGCAGATCCTACGTAGGTGGAAGAGGGAGAGAGAGAGAGAGAGAGAGAGAGGAGGGGGAAAAGGTTGATAGGTTTGTGCGCGGGTCCCTCGTGCGGGCTGCGCTCCTCCTGGGTGCTATTTGACAATTCCTGCCTCTGCCATTGGTCAGTGTTGGATCAGATGGTTGTATTTCCTTCTGGCCCTCACTGGCACCTCGCCATCCCCCCTCAGCTAAAACCCAATCTCGGCTATACTACTAATAGGCGCGGCGCTCGGACTATAAAACACAACAAATCATAAACCCGGTGGAGCAGCAGCAGCCGCGCGCGCCTCCCCTCCCGATGAGTTCCTATTTCGTGAACTCCACCTTCCCCGTCACTCTGGCCAGCGGGCAGGAGTCCTTCCTGGGCCAGCTGCCGCTCTACTCGTCCGGCTATGCGGACCCGCTGCGGCACTACCCCGCGCCTTATGGGCCGGGACCGGGCCAGGACAAGGGCTTTGCGGCGTCCTCCTATTACCCACCAGCCGGCGGCAGTTATGGCCGGGCGGCGCCCTGCGACTACGGGCCGGCGCCTGCCTTCTACCGGGAGAAGGATGCGGCCTGCGCCCTCTCCGGCGCCGACGAGCCGCCCCCATTCCATCCAGAGCCGCGGAAGTCTGACTGCGCACAGGACAAGAGTGTGTTCGGAGAGACCGAGGAGCAGAAGTGCTCCACGCCCGTCTACCCGTGGATGCAACGCATGAATTCATGCAACAGTGAGTGAGACTTCCCGCTGTTCCGCCCGGGGGGGGGGCATGCAGGAAGGCAGAACTAGCGAGTGTCTCCCCCACCCCCACTCCGTTCCCCCACTGGAAACTAGGTGGGTATCTCAGGAGATGGGGTAAGATTGGGTCCCTGCCTCCAAATCGGTTCTCTTGCCCGCAGAAGTTGCAAAGTTTGCAAAGTCCCAGCTGCACAGTAAGGCAGGGGGAGTAAGTGGGCTCACCGAGTTAGGCCAGAGCTAGGCTTGCTGATCAGGAAGAGGACAGGGGACTCAGTCTCTGGTTTTGCTTTCTTCTGTGTGTTATCCACCTCTCTTATCCGGATCGGCCCGGGTCCCCCCTACCCAAAGATCACTCCATTAAAAACAAGAGTGCGTCATGAAGGGGAGGGGTGGCATGAAGCCGGCAAGGGCAATTTAATGGATCCTGGACTGCATTTCCCTGGGGCTGGAGGGGGGACTGGGGAGCGGGGAGATACCCAGAAAGTGGTAGTAGTCTGGGGGAAAGGAGGCACAAGAGGGGACAGGCGGAGGGAGTGAGAGGAACTAACCGGCGCCTGGGTCTCAGGTTGGATTATTTGTCGGCTTCAAGTCCCAATTGATGTCCATTAGCGGGACACGAAAGTGAGGAGCTGTTAATGCGGACTATGGATCGATCCACGTCATTATGGATTAAGGGCCAGAATCTATCATTGAGTAGGGTAGGGAAAGCTGGATGGATAGAAAGGAAAGATACAGCAAGTCGGAGACATACCTGGACGGCCCCTCCCCCACTAAGCTCAGGTGGGAGTCCAACTACCCCTCCCCTCCCCCACCAAAAGTCTAGACAGAAAGAAAGCTCAGGCCTAGGAATCCAGGAGGGAATCTGGAGGGGGCGCTGGAGGAGTGGGAAAGGGGGACTAGGAAATGGGATAAAGGAAGGAGGACCAGTAAGCATCATGTTTGAAGACTGAGTAGGGGAGGAGGGCAGTGAGCTTGGTGTGACCCCAGGCCTCAGTTTCTCCTCTCTGCGTAACAGGTTCCTCTTTTGGGCCCAGTGGTCGGCGAGGCCGCCAGACTTACACTCGCTACCAGACCCTGGAACTGGAGAAGGAATTTCACTACAATCGCTACCTGACCCGGCGGCGGCGCATCGAGATCGCGCACGCCCTGTGCCTGACCGAGCGGCAGATCAAGATCTGGTTTCAGAACCGGCGCATGAAGTGGAAAAAGGAGAGCAAACTGCTCAGTGCGTCTCAGCTCAGTGCGGAGGAGGAGGAAGAAAAACCAGCCGAGTGAAGGTGCTGCAAAGGGAGGGGGGACGCGAAGGGAGAGGCCTGTGGGGGAACCGAGGGCACCCGAAAGCCCCAGAAGGCTCTGCGGTCGGGGGGAGTCTGGGGACTTGCTCTCCAGCGCAAGACGGGCGGGGCCCAAGCGCTCTCCTGGACGTCCCGCCCGCAGAACTCTTCCTGGGCGCTTGGAGGCTGCCCACCCAGCATCCCAGCGCCTCCTCCCTCCCCGAAGAACCCACCTTGGCCTCATCAGACTCCCTGGTGAGAACTGAGAATCGGACTCACTTGACGTCTCTGGAAGCAGAGCAGAATGCTCTTGTCCTTGTCGAGTCTCATTTCGTCCATGTCCCCCCCCCCCCTCCCGTGCACGGTTCAATGGTAGATTCTCTGTCCCATCAGCAGGGACCTGAAAGACTCCCTACCCCAGACTCTCCTACCCCCTCCCCAAAACCACTGGAAGGAGCACATACTACCTAGAATTAAGAAGAGGAGCCTCAGAAGAAAACAAAGTTCTATTTTATTAATTTTCTATGTGTTGTGTTTGTAGTCTTGTCTTAGCTCGGGACGTGAAATACTTCGGTAATAATATTAATATTATTAATAATGATTATGATGATGATGATAATAATAAAGACGTGAAAACTCGCAGCTCAGTCACATCCAATTCTTCCCTGCCATTTTTCCCCCTCCATAGCCCCAGCAAACCCTGTCCTTCCTAAGCCTGAACAGCAAAGGTGAGAACCATGGTCGCCTCAGGGCCTTTCCAGGCACCAGACTCAATTCCGGAGTTACAGCTGAGATAAAAGCAGGAATCAAAAGCAGGGGCCAGCCATAGGGCCTCCCAGGCTCCAGCGTTGGTTGTGCCTCTCTCGTGCTAAATTCATAATTGCCTCTCCTATTCAGACTTGAGGGAGGGATGATGGAGAGAAGCCTTTTCCCCTCTCGTTCCTTAAGCTTGCCTAGGTAGTGAGACTCTGGAGGAATGCCACTGGAAGCCTCCTAGCCCAGAGCCCTGGAGAGACAGAGTTGGGCGGGTCTGGGCGTCTCTGCAGCGTTTTTCTGTCTTCTGCTAGCCAAGGCCCCTGGCCTTTGGCCCGCCCACATGGCTGTCTCTGCCGGCCTTGGCCCTCGGCTCTCTAGCCTATTGCTCCGGAGACTGAAAAATGAGGCCACTGGGCATCTCTCCACAGTTTGTCTACAGGCTTCAGGGTGCCCCTTCCCATATTAAGTAGGAGTTCGATGGCAAGGAAGAGAACGAGAACCCGGGAGCAGGAGGCCGCAAGGTCCCGACTTTATCTGGCTCTTTGGAAACCTGAGGACAGGGGAGCAGGTGATGGGGCATTTGGTCTCATCTTCTCTACTCAAAACGGTTTATTCTTTCTCTGCTCCCATTCTCACCCAAGCCGCAAGCTGCAGGCACCATTTTCTTTTCTTCCTCCTCCCTCTCTCCCTTTTTTATTTTTAAAGAAAATAGCCGCCTGGCAGAAGGGGCCCAGCTGCGGAGGTCTCTGGACGCCCAGCGGGCTCAGCAAGGGGCCCCGGTCTTCTGAACCCCTTCCTAGGAAGGCTGGAAGGCAGATGAGCAAATTCTCCAACTGTTAGCCACCAGCAGAATGAGGCTTCGGATCTGGATAGCTGGCATCTCGTGAGATTGTTACGAGGTTCTGTTTTAACCCCAAACTCTCACGTACGAGTTGTCACCCAAATCCCCACCGCCTAGGCGGTGGCTGCTCTAGGCTGCCTATCCCCGGCTGTGTTCCTCTTCCAGGGTCCCTGTCCAGCTCGGTTCCTAGGCCTATGCTAAGGATGCGAGATCAGAAGAATTTCAAACTTCCCAGGGGCCCAGGAGAACGAAGAGCTTCTCTGCCTCTTCCAGCCTCCTGCCCAGCCCTGCAGCTCTCTGGCGTTTTGGACCCGAAACCGAAGCCTCCTCTCCAGTAAAGAGGCCTGGTTGAGCTAACGGAGATAACTCGTAATAACTGTTTTTTCACACACAACTTCTAACCCTTCCTCCCTCATTTCCTTACCCAACTTGGGGACTGACAAAGCTTAAAGAGGGAAGGTCAGGCAACTAAATCCTTGATCATACTATCCAGAGTTAAAATAATAATAGTAATAATAAATGATGATAATAATGTCAGAGAGGAAGACATAAATAGAGAAAATAATCTCACTCTAACAAAGTGGGCAAAATACTCAAACCTATCTTCCTAAAGGTTCAACCCTGCGTTTGAGCCGCGGGGCCGCCTTTCTTTCTTGCTTGGCGGTAGCACAGAGCCAGTTGGGAGGCTGCCGACGCCGCCATGGCGGCCTGCGGCCCGTGCTCCCGTCAATCGCCGGGAGGTGGCGCGCTCTGCTTAGAGGCCAACGCCAACCTTCTCCCTGTTTCTCCCCCTTCTCTCTTCCCCCCCCCCCCCCTCGGAGGCTCGCATTGAATCGGCCCTAACGATTCTCGGATCGTCATTATTTGTAACCATAGAGCATGAATTACCTCTTGAGGTCATCAGCGAGAATTTACGACTGGTCAACAAAAGCACGTGATTCCCTAACGCCCCCCCATCCCCCTTCCAACCCCCCCCATATTTGGCCGCATACATAGCAAAACGAAGTACAGTGCATCGCTATAATTCATTAATACATCATAAATCGTGAAGCACAGGGTTATAACGACCACGATCCACAAATCAAGCCCTCCAAAATCACCCAAATGAGCTCGTACTTTGTAAACTCCTTCTCGGGGCGTTATCCAAATGGCCCGGACTATCAGTTGCTAAATTATGGCAGTGGCAGCTCTCTGAGCGGCTCTTACAGGGATCCCGCTGCCATGCACACCGGCTCTTACGGCTACAATTACAATGGGATGGATCTCAGCGTCAACCGCTCCTCGGCCTCCTCCAGCCACTTTGGGGCGGTGGGCGAGAGCTCGCGCGCCTTCCCCGCGTCAGCCCAGGAGCCCCGCTTCAGGCAGGCGACGTCCAGCTGCTCCCTGTCCTCGCCCGAGTCCCTGCCCTGCACCAACGGCGACAGCCACGGCGCCAAGCCCGCTGCTTCGTCCCCTTCCGACCAGGCGACCCCAGCCAGCTCCAGCGCCAATTTCACCGAAATAGACGAGGCCAGCGCGTCCTCCGAGCCTGAGGAAGCAGCAAGCCAGCTAAGCAGCCCCAGCCTGGCTCGGGCACAGCCAGAGCCCATGGCCACCACTACAGCCGCGCCCGAGGGGCAGACTCCACAGATATTCCCCTGGATGAGGAAGCTTCACATCAGCCACGGTAATTCTCCATCTCTTTTTTTGTCCTCTTCGTATCCCTGCCCTGTGCTGGGGGTGAGGGGGGGTCTGTGAGGAAAGCTTGACTTTGCCTCAAATATAGATTCACCCCCCCCAAGAGGGAGAACTGTTCAAAGGGGTCCCCACAGCTCCATGAACAGAGCCAAACAGGGTCTTTTGCTGGGGGTGGGCATTTTTCTAAAATCAATTTGTTGCCGGGTTCAGTTTAGGTTTTATTTACCCAGCTAGTCACCGGCTTTGGGTTGAAAGATGGGATTTGTGCATTGTAGGGAGGGGTCCTGTTTATTCCCGAAATTTTGAGGTGCAGCTAGCAAGGAAGAAATGGGCTGTAAACGAAGCTTTCTAGGGCAAAAGTGCAGCGGATCTCCTCCTTTCCGGGGCTAAAGGCCGCCTGAACCCAGCCTAGGGTGAGGCACTGGGAAGGAGCAAGAGACAAAGCCGGGAGCATTCGCTAGCACCAGAAGTGGGGGCTGCTGGAGAAGGGGGGGGGAATGAAGAAATAGAGGCTGGATGCGGGCACCTGGAGTGAGGAGGATTGGAGCTGCGGTGAGCAGGGTGCTGGGGACGCCTGGGTCCTGCTCCCCGTCCCCTCCCACTCAGTGCCCCCTCCTTTAACCGGAATAACGTTGCCTGCTGGCTCTTCTCTAACTGCTCTAGATATGACTGGGCCAGACGGGAAAAGGGCCCGGACCGCCTATACTCGCTACCAGACCCTGGAGCTGGAGAAGGAATTCCACTTCAATCGCTACCTGACCAGGCGGCGACGCATCGAGATCGCCCACGCGCTCTGCCTGTCCGAGCGTCAGATCAAAATCTGGTTCCAGAACCGTCGCATGAAGTGGAAGAAAGACAACAAACTGAAAAGTATGAGCCTGGCTACAGCCGGCAGCGCCTTTCAACCATGAGCCCATCCGGAGGAGCCCTGGGCGGCCCAAGAGCCCGCACCACCCCCAGCCCGACCCTTCCAACCCTCCCTGCACCGCCGCTGCGCTGCCCGCTGGGAACCTGTTCCCATGAGCCTGTCTCGCCCCAACCTTGTGTTACAATTTTTCGTTTGGTCTTAGGTCTTCCCATGGCTCCCTCTCTCCTGGACTGGTTATCTTGTTATTATTGTTAATAATTATAATTATTATTATTTCCCCTCCATGCTCCCCACCTCCCTCGGCTCGCCCCCAATTGCCAGTGTTTCTGAGTGTCCTCGTGTCTGTGGGTGCACCCCTTTCCCCAGGAAAAAGAAAAGAAAAAGAAATTCGCATGTTTAATGTGACTTCCCTTCCCTGTGTGTGTTCTAACTTATTTATAAAAAGGGTAATGGCTGTATTTTGAGTTTCATCTGGAAACTTCCATAAGGGGCAGCAGTTGAGGTAGTGCTGGGCCCAGCTGAGCTGGCCTGAGAAATGGAGTCTACGATTGTGTCTCTTTTTACCCACTTCATCCGTCTTCAGCTCCCACTCCCTAGGCCCAGGACTCCGGAGCAGTGGCTTGTTCCTGGGGTGGGAAGGGGCCAGGGAAGGACCAAAGTGTGGATGTTGAGAAGAGGAAAGGAAAAGAGTAAGCGATAAGCTAAGCGCCTGCTGCCTGGTAGGCCCCACAAGGCCTGGCCTGGGAGTGTATGGAATCAGAAATAAGCCTCGGTGTAAAATGTCTTGTGATTTTTCTCTGTGAATCTGTGGGCCTGGCTAGAAGGCCCAAAGCTTGTAAATATGGGGCTAGTCTGGGTCAGGCCAACCACTTCCTTACCCATTTCGCTTCTGAGACCATTTGTAGCCAGCAAGGGGATGCTGTGTGTGTGGGATCTGTCTTTGCCAGGCCTGTCTCAGTGATTAGCTTTTGGTATGTCTGTAGCTTTCCTTGAAGTCAAATAAATGTTTCCCCCACTCCATTGCCTTCCCCTTGTCTTTTCTCCGAGGGTCTGCCTCTTTCACCACTGGGCACAAGCTATCCTGAGACCATCTCCCATAAATCTAGGGCACAGGGAAGGGGAAGTAGGATGTCTGCCAGAAACCCCTTGAAGCCACCTAGGTTGGGCCAGGAGACAGGCCTTCCTGCCTGGGGTGGTGAGAGGCCCAGGAACTTCCTATGGGCCTTAGCTGGACTCCATCCTGACTTCCCTCCAGGTGACTTGCAAAGCCTCTGAAAAAAATGCTCCAGGAAGAGTTATTTGGGCCTAAGTCCTGAGCAAGAAGACTCCTGGTATTTTGAGACTGGTAAAGGCCTGCCCAGATGCACAGTCTCCTGTTCCAAACCCCAGTTAAGCTCTGCTGACCACTAAAGAAAAACAAAACAAAACCAAACAAAACAAAAAACCAAACCACAATTCAATTTCAAAGGTTTCCTGTCTCACTTGGCCTTCTCTGCACTTTTCAAGGGGTCCTCCTCTCCA